GTCACCGCATAGACTCGGGTAGGGAACTAGCCTGTGCCATAATTGCTCCTGGTAACGCGAAAGCGAACCGCACCCCCGTTGACATCAACGACTTCCACTGCGCGCACGGCCACTCCCACGAGGTGCTGCTGAAGAACACGGCGAAGCAGCAAGGGGTGACGCTGGTGGGCCAGCTCCGGGAGTGCATGGGGTGCTCGACGGCAAAGGGGCTATCCAAGCCCATCCCCAACAGGACGTCCACCCGAGCAGTTAAGAAGCTGCAGAGAGTTTTTGTGGATTTGAGTGGGAGGGCAAGGGTGCAGAGCTTGGGGGGGAAGTGGTACACTCTCATTGTAAGGGATGACTGCACGAGGTGGAACCGCGTCTACTTCTTGAAAAACAAGTCAGACGCTGCAGAAGCATTCGAGAGATACCTAGCGGAAAACCGGGCAGACGGAGCCCCATCCGAGGTCATGGTCGTGCGGTCTGACAACGGAGGAGAGTTTTTCGAGGGAGAGTTCGGAAAGCTGTGCCGCAAGTACTGCATCAAGCAGGAGTTCACCCCCGCATACAGCCCAGAATACAACGGTGTAGCTGAGAGAGCACTGGGACTGATCAAGGATGCAGCACTAGCCGCGCGCATACAAGCGCCGATTCTTTACCCCGAAGCGCCGAGCTACCCCTCCCTTTGGGCCGAAGCTACAGCTTGGGCATGCAACGCCCTTAACTGCACCTCCACCACATCCAACCCGGACAAGAAATCGCCGTACGAAATGTGGCACGGGCACCCACCTCCCCCAGAGGCGACGTACCCGTTCCTCAAACCCGCCGTATACAAGGTCAAGCGCACGCACAAGTCAGAGCCGAAAGCAAAAAAGTGTTTTTACCTCGGCCCTGGAATCAACACAAACCGTGATTGCGTGCGCATCCTGAACGAAAAACGCCAAGCGATCACAACTCGCAACTTCACCTGGCAATCTGTGCCCGCCGCCCCGACCGCGCACCCCCAGCCGCTGCCTCCCATTGCAGAGGAGGACGAGGAGCTCACGACTGGGGAGCACGAGGGCGGGGAGGGTGCGTCATGCCACGGTGGAGGGAGGGCGGAGGGAGAACCTGAGGATGGAGGTTTCCACCTTGACACGACGGCAAACCCGGGGCCCGCGGAGCCGCCCGCGCGTGATGCGCCGGCGGCGCCGCCGGCCGCGCCCCAGGAGTCGGGCGCGGGCGACGCTGGCGATGGCGCCCCCTCGAGCAGGGAGGGCGCGAGCGTCGCCCCATCTACCACGTCGACCGGGATGGCCGATGTGGGCGGCGGCGAGGACGACCGTCGCAGCAGCAGCAGCCGCGGTGGCGGCAGCAGCAGCAGCAGCAGCAGCAGCAGCAGCAGCAGCAGCAACAGCAGCGGTAGCGGCAGTGACAGCGGCAGCGACACGGACATCCCGGCCCTCCGCGGGCCCGAGGGACGGAAGCTCGCCCGCTTTGGCGAGCCGGCGGAGCTCACCAGCCGCCGACTCAGGGAGAACCCTCGCCGGAACATGAGGTACGAGTCGTCGCCGTCGCCAACGAGTGCCGAAGGCCTGCTCGCCCGCCATGCGTCGGAGGCGGGGCTGCCCATCCTGCCCATCAACAGCACGACGGAGCACACCCACTGGATGATCGCGTGTGTGGTCGACGTGGTGGAAGAGCTAGAGGCGAGGGCGGTGCAAGCGCTGCTGTGCGAGCGCGCGGAGGAGGCCAACATCGCGCGCCAAGAGGCAGAGGACTTCCTGCTGGGAGCGGAGGACCTCGTGCTCAACTCTCCAGACGCCTTCGCGAGGGCCCTGGCGTCGACCGAGCTGAGTACAGAATCCCCCATAGGCAAGCGTCCGAGTGACGTCGAATCCCCCCCCATGACCGTAGCCGGCGTTAACAAGTCTGTGTACAGAGAGGGATGGGAACAGGCCATGAGGGAAGAGTTTGATGGGCACTTGGGCACGGGAACGTTTTCATTCGTAGACGGTACGCCAGAGGGGCGTAGACCCGTGAGCTCGAAGTGGCGCTTCACTTGGAAGACAAACAAGGACGGAAAAATTGAGAAGTTCAAAGCGCGTCTGGTCGCTAGGGGGTTTTCGCAAATCCCGAACGTGGACTACTTCCACTCATCCTCCCCTTGCCCATCATCCGCATCCATTAAACTGATGCTTGCGGTAGCCAACGAGAAATCGCTGAAACTCAACCACTGGGATGTCAAGCAGGCGTTTACACACGCTAAGTTGGACGAGGATGTGTTTCTGAGGCTCCCCGCGGGGTGCGGGGAAAAATCCCACAAAGTTGTGAAGGCTGAGCGTGCTATTTACGGCTTGAAGCAGAGCGGCAGGCAGTGGGGGTACCACGCTGCCGATACTCTTGTAGAAAACGGGTTCGAGCAGTGCAAGGCTGACCCGTGCGTCTTCCGCAAGATGAAAGACGATGTCGTGGTGATGATTATCGTGATTTATGTGGATGACATTTTGGTGGCTGGGTCTGATGATGATTGCAAGGAGTTGCTTGATTCCCTCAACAAGGCATTCCCCACCAAAGACCTTGGAGAGTGCGTGTGGTTCGACGGGTGTGCCGTCGAGAGAGACCTAGAGGCTGGGACCCTTAGAATCTCCCAAACCGCGTACATTGACAGCATCGTGAATCGCTTTGATGTGCAGTCGACCTCCTCCATCCCTGCTTCCCCTGGTGTCGATATAGGACCGAAGCGGGATGACGAGAGTGGAGGGGAATGGCCGGTGAGGGAGGCCATCGGCAGCATGATGTGGGTGTCGACGTTCTCGCGCCCGGACATCTCGTTCGCCGTGCGTGCGGTAGCGCGCCATGCCCATGCCCCTGCCGAGAGGCACTGGAAGGCGATCGTGAAGATCCTCGCCTACCTCAAAGAGACGAGGGACCTCGGGATCACCTACGAACGGGGATCGGGGTTGGGGCTGGCGGTGTACGTGGACGCTAGCTACGCCGACGCTGAGGATAGGCGTTCGGTGTCAGGGCTGGCAACAACGGTTGGAGGGACCGTCATCAGCCACGGTAGCAAGACGCAAGCTATCGTATCTTTGTCGTCTACGGAGGCAGAGTACATTGCTGCCGGGGAGGGTGTGAAGGAAGCTTTGTTTGTGCGTGCAGTGCTTTCGTTTATTGCCCCAGAGACCAGTGGCAGCAGCATTCAGGTCCTTGAGGACAATCAGGGGGCTATGGCTTTGGTGCAGAACCCCCTCAGCTCAGCGCGTAGCAAGCACATCGACGTGAGGTACCACTTCATTCGTGGATTGTTCAGGTCGGGGGACATCTCGATCAAGTTTGTGTCGACGTCGGAGCAGCATGCCGACATGCTTACCAAGGCTCTTAGCAAGAGCAGTCTGCAGTACCACCGGCGCAAGTTGATGAATTTGCCGGAGTAGCTAGCAGTTTTTAGCACTTGGGAAGGGCCATGTTTACCATGCGGGAAAGTCGCATTACTGTCGCGGTCTGTGTACCAATGGCAGGAGTAGGGGGCGTTGGGAGACCATCGTCCGGAGGAACGTAGTTCCTTGAGATCTTGTCTTCGCCATGGCCTTTCTGATAAGTGCGGCCGTTGTACATCCGCCGTGATAGGAATGGTTTTTGTGTTGGATAGGGTTTTCTTTGGAGGGGTTTTGCCCGGGGGCCGGGTTTCCCCTCCACCACCGTATGGTTTTTTATTGATGTATCCGGGGTGTACCCACTGATGGTTAGTCACTCGCGTGAAGAACCAGGGAGGGTGTTCGTGGGTCTACGGACATGGTGGATACATTACCCGTACGTACAAGTGTGACGCAGATGGTGTAGAAATTTTAAGGTAGGGGTACGGTGATGAAGCACCGGGACCCCCTTTGTTGAGTGCAGCAGCCGTGCTGCTACTCTCTCTCTTCTCTCCTCCTCCTTTCCGAGCACGACAGCGTCCTGGGTACGGGCGTTGTCTCACCGTCTGAAGTTAATACACTACACAAACAAGTCCCGATAAGTACGCGGAGTACGGCCGACAAACA